TTCCTGATATTCGGACTGAACATAGCTCGTTGCCGGAAAAAATTGTAAGTTGCTCCTGGACGTCTTAAACCAAACCACTATGGAGCAATTAGACCTTGAGCTTTAGGACGAATTATATAGGAATACACTATGGAAACTTATATCATCCAGCATAAGGATCTCAACAGCGAACAATTAATTTCCAGATAACATTTATACAACTGCCTATCTTTATACCAAAACAAGGAATTCTATAATATATTGACTGAGGGACTCCTACTACTGTGGATTCTCGAACTTTGCTTTGATATCTTGTCCATTGCTTCCCCAGCGTTACCTCTATTCCTAATAACGATCAGGAAGGACGATCAACGTGGTAGATTCGATAAGATGCAACGGAGATGCACAGCGGCGGGAAGAGAGTGGGGAATCGTCCGATGATTTCTGGATATACCAGGATATCAAGATAATGTTTGGACATCACCTGTATCACCTGTCGTCCCGTTGATCATCGAATTGCTCGAGCGGGCGCCAGCAACGTCTCCATTCGTCCCTGTCGCGTGCAAGAGTTGTCCAGTGGACCCTCCTCGCTCGAGGGACACGATGTCCTTCATTCCTTTCGTTCAGAGCTTTCGTGAAGAAGTCTGACCATCGGGCCGGCGGTCGTCCAGGTGTTCGTTTGACGTCCCGAGGGATCCAGTCGGTAACCGCTCTGGTCCAACGGTCATCGCAAAATCGCATGACGTGTCCGGCCCACCTTATCTTCGATTCCTTGGCGAAAACGGCAGCGTCCCTGATCTTCGATCGTTGGCGTAGTTCGGCACTCCGGATTCCCCTCTGCACTTGCGTGTATAGGGTTACTCCTAGCATCGTCCTCTCGACAGCGCGTTGGATAACGCTGACCGCATGCTCGTCCTGCCTGCGCAGAGTCCAAGTCTCTGAGGCGTAGGTTAGGGCAGGAAGGACAGCGGAATCGAAGAGGTGGGCACGGAGCCGGATGTTCTTCGTCTTCGTATAATGTATGCTATACGAAGTTATTACGCATGAGAAAGCATATTCTCGGATGGATGCGGAAGGAGCAGATACTCTGCTCGGGCTTGACTAGAGTGCCGGTAACAGTGCCAGTTTCACTCCATACTATACTAGAATTTCTGTCCTATTTTGACTCGATCCTCTAAATGAAGTGATTACAATGCATCAACTTAGGGTCAGCATTAAAGCAGTCCACTAGCACATCGTTTCCAAGTGTCCTTGGACCGTGTGAATGCTTCTCCTGCCTCTTATGTTTAAACTTTTTCTATTTGTAAAATTAAAACTGTTTTTGTTTTGTTTTTCGATCTCAATATTTTTATGTGTTTTATTCAAAATTTATTTAGGGGGTGGGATTCAAAGAGTAGTTTAGTCTCCGTTTCGCACGTGCCCTTAGACGGAGACTAAACGAAAGAGTATCCTCTCCCTGTTGCAAAGTAGCCACGGTAAGCCGCACAGCTGCGTAAACCAGTCCAGCGAAAAATTCTGGGGAAACGGCTATTGTTGGTACATCTGCACTTATCGTTTCCTGGTGCAAGAGAGTGAGCAGATTACCTCAGTACGCAGGTCGAAAATGTTTCGCTAGAACATTGCTGTGTTCGTGCTCTGCTTTTTCCCTAACCAGTTTCCTTCAGATATTGATATGATGTCTTGTTTACTCCGTTGAGTCCTGGAGTTCGGAAGCTTCACGGCTTCTCAAGAGAATTCACCGCTATGGCAAAACACGAGGGCATATCGTTAAACGCATGTGCACGTGTTGTGAACGTAAACCGTGTTTGTTCCGTCAAATAGTGGCTTGGAAATGTTGAAACCGTATCGCCTAATACGGCAGATACGGATCATTTCGCCCACATATTCAAAACAGCAAGCACTTCTTGGCGTTATCGCAACATACGGGGGCTTCCCCTTTACTTACGATAAGCCTAGGACGGGGGAGAACTTTGGGAAAAAATTGCTGACACCTCTCTCGTCTCCCGTAAAAGGCGTTTGTTACAGAATAAGGAGATGTTCGAAGCTATTTTAAAGTACTGCAAATCAAAGCATAAAAGCAGAAAAAATGAAAAACAAGTTGAATGAGGTAGGAAGGAAATCGCCGGCCAGAAAATACGTTTAAACGAGCTCTAAGCTTTCGACTTCAAAATCCAAGCTAGGTATTTGCAACTTTGCACCGCTCCTTGACCAGATCGCACATGCTTCGACAAATTGCCCCCTGTCTTGCAATAGCGCCGAAAATCCTTTAGACATTTTTGAGCCTTTTCTGAAAGGAGCGATCACGCTGGCTTCCTCATGGATCTGCTACCCTCGCGCTATCAACTGATAAGGTCTAAGATAGATAATTGTTGGAGTGAGTGCTGTAAGGCAGGGTCAACCGTTACGTTGGACCGATATTGGAGCGACGTTGGACCGATGTTCACCGCTCTCCGCGCCGGCATTCACTCTCGCCACCCGCGAGCCGTCTGTGTCTCCGTGCGTACGTTCACTCTCGGCATTACTCTCGTCGTCGCGTTGGACTTTGTCCAACGGACGGTTGACCCTGGTTAAGCCCATGGAAGATATGATACCGATAAGAAAAGAAGATACGGCTGCTTGGAATGAGGTGCACTTTAAAATGAAAATCGTTTGAACGCTTTTGACTAGCCACGCAAATGCCTGGTTGGCCCAGAGGCAATCCCCTACCAACATAGAATAGTGAAAAATTTCTGGATGGTAAACCGCCAAAAAACAGGGATGATAGAATGCAAAAAGAGGTCTTGCTCGCACCTCTCCACCCTATAATCGAAAAAGTAGTTACCTTTCAATGATCACGGGGAAATGCGGGTTTCTGTAGCATCGGGTTGTTCTGTAATATATAGCGGCATTTGAGAGGTAAAAGAGCAGTATAATACTGATGAATTGCATTGGTCAGCATGTAAAGGAATTATTATAAAAGTGAATGTATTAACAGACGGATCGCGAAAAATTAACGAACCACATCTACCCAACGACCTGCTACCATCTCAAATAATAAATAGAATGTGATCGGCATATCCACACTCTCAACCCGGGATTGTTGAATAGTTTCACTATTCATTATAGAAGGGAACAAGTCAGAAAAAAAATTGTTCCTGTTCTTTTAGCGAATAAGAAAAATGGTAATGGTAAATAACAGACGACCAAAATGAAGAAAAACAATCGCTTTTTTCACAAACGTAATGAATTAAGTCATTCAGATTTGATGAACTGTGATCGCTAGGGCTCATGCACATATAAAAGCCTCGTCAAAAATTAAAGCTAAAGACCTCTCTTACGGGTCTGTATCGTCTAAATATAATCTTTTCGACACCACTAGTGATTTTTTTTAGCCTTACAGCTTTCCCTGTATTTTCGAATTTCTTTACAGTCTCCAAAAAAAGGCGGTATTGCCGAAAAGTTAGTCAATTAATCCCGTATTGATTTGAAGGCTGAAACAACGAAAGCTTATTATTGCGTATGTTTCCACTCCGGTAAAAATTCCCAACACACTATACGCAAGCTCGGAATTTCTTAATGGTCTTTTGCTCAGCGAAGATTTTTGCCACGCGAACATGACACATTGGGGAGTTTCTTGGACGCTCATAATCCTCATGACTACGGACGAAACATTAGAACCTACACCACCATGTCCCGTTTTGAGTATTAAAGCACTGATATAAACCGAATGCAAATTGGCTGTTTTTTAGCCTGAAGCCCCTTAAAGGAGGAATTCGCGATAAGAACGAAGTCAAAGAAGAGAAAATTGCATAGTTGGGAGACAGGCGGACCTCCTGAGGGTGCTGACCGACGCGCAATTGCAGCGAAAGATTTGACCTCGGCAATCTAGCATGGCTCACTCTTGGCGCGGTTGGCGGGGTACGCCCACCCGACTATCTAATCACTCGCTGCAGGTCTATACGTGGCGATTGATCAGATGGCAAAGAGAGTGCGTAGTGTTGAAGAGGGCCACAGCGACACAATGCGCAAAACATCAACGCTTAGGGGACCATTTCTCGGAGGCATTTTCAAAGCCGTGTAACGTGGCGTTCTTCCTCGTCCCTGCTCCACTAGACACTTTGATGCCTCTAGCTTCCAATGAGCTAAGTGTTCACTCGTTAATTCTGCCATAATGATCGCTGCCGGATTCACTTCACGACGAGACAGAGTAAGGGTTGTGCGTCGTGCTAGAAGGTGAAACGCAGTTTCTTGGATAATTCATACTTTGCGTAACTCACAGACTACAGATCTTACCTACACATATTGTCGAAAGTGGTAGAGGCTGGGGGGGCGTTGGGGGCGCTTCGTATTCACTGTCACTCTTGAGCGGTAAAGGCCATGAAAATCCTGGACAAATTCAACTGCCGAGCCAAAAGCACCAAAGGACGCCTCAAGGCACAACTTTGAGCCACTCACCCTAATTTTCAAGGTCTTAAGTTTAAAGCGAGTAGAGTTGCTTACTATTTCCTGCTCATTACTTTCCGGTGTCACTCATTAATTTCTGGAACATGTAGATGACCTGATGGCCTGAATTCCTTATGACCAGATCAAAACCCGTCGCAGCTTATGTAGAGCTTTGGAAAGCGGATGAAATGTCTTCAAATTTGGAGCGACCTTCATAAAATGTAGGAATCTGATTAGACCATTTGTTAAACTTTATTATCGTTTTAAAACTTTTAGTGCTAGATCGGCTATACATATATGTAGTAATGTACAGAGTTTACAAGGATACACTATATGTCTGAGCAATGAAAGTACAAAACACATTGTACAGAATTTCTACAATGAGAAGAAAGATGGTCACGAGGACGCATGTGATTCAGACGAATTTTTCACACAATCAGTTGTTCGCTTCCATCCTTCTCGTTGCTCGTTCCTTGAAATAAATGGCTATTAGTAAGGGAAAAATCAATACCTATTAACCTCATTGCACTTTTAAGTTTTTGAAAATTACCAATAAATTCACTAAAATAAGAAAAGAACCTTGAGATCCTTTGGATGACTCATTCCTTCATACGCAATTCCATCATGTCCTTGAGATCACGTGAGTGTCTGCTGAATATTTCTTTGCGGAGGGCAAAGAATAAGACGCTGTACTCCTGAAAGGAAATATTGGTAGGCAAGACAACAGGGAAATAGGGCTTACTCGTAAATTACAACTCGTATCAAATATTCAGGGAAAAGTGGTCCGAAACATACCTTCGGCTTCTCAGCGACAAGGTCCTTTATGGCTCTCCTGCGTTCGGCATGGGTCTGATCGTCATTCTCCATGACTTTCGAAAACTCGTCCAAAGCCGATGGCAAAGCTTCGATAAGCTCGCTTACGTTTTTGTTGAGCTCCTTCTGGCTGTTTCGTGACGTGGCGTGGTGTATTCGTTATACTTCGTTCCTGTAAAATATGGTTGGTCGAGTGAGTGGTAAACCCTTTATTTAAAGGAGTTCAGTCAAACGTTTAGTTTAGCTTAATCACAAGACGGTGCTGGACATGAGTTTTGTTTCGATCTTCAGAGGTTATACATGATAATTACAGCTTTAGCGGTACGCGTATCAGCTATTTACAATCGAAGGACCGTTTTCTTCTAGAGACCTAACCCGTCCTCTTTCCTGAAGTTGTGAAAATGCTAGGCTTCATGGGCAGAAGCAGGAAGGACGAAATCACCATGAAGGAACATCTTCAACATTTCTTCCCCCTTGAGAAAGTGTCCGAAAGCAAAGGAATCTTGTACCTCAACGTCGTACTTCTTAGCCCATTCAAGCTCTTCCTTTTTCTGCTCGGCGATTGTCTCGTTCTTGCTCATTATGATTTTGAAGTACTCCTTTCGGGCCTCTCTGGAAACATTGCGAAGGAACGGTGGCAGAAGTGAGTCTTTGAGGCCTCCATGGTCACCACGACCGCGGAGACTATCCATAATGCCAGGTGCGCTGAGGGCAACTCCGGCGAACGCGATGAGGTAGATGATTGTGTTCATTCTAAAATATAATATTCAATATTTTATTGAGAGTTTATGTGAAAGAGTGATCATTAAGGAGGAGACATTGGAGGCGATGAGTTCTTAGCTTGTGAGGCAATTCGAAGGAGCAAAACAAGAATGTTGAAAATCGCCCAGGCACAGCTTTTATAGCGCTTTTTCAGGTGCTGATCTCTGATGATTCTACCGTGTGGATCAGACCGGAAAGGGTGACGATTGATGTCATAAGTCACAATTCACTGCTGCTCGAGCCTGCCCACGCCAATTTCGGAAAGTCTGAAAACACTGCCTTATCAGTTTTTTGTGACCCAGTTTTCATATCAGTGATATCATAATTTCAAGTTGCTTACCATTACTTTCTTGAAGTGAATGTATGTAGGCTCGGCTGACTTTTGCAGACGGCAAAATTCGATTCACTGCTTTAGCAAGGGAGTGCGTCGCTTCTCAGTACTACATCTCCCTCTCTCTTGCAACGGATGTCCTAAGGAACAGCTCGTCTTCACCAACGATCCTACCACTTACATAATTTGTTGTGGTTTCACATAGCAGTGGTAATGATCGCAGACGCTCTATAAAAAAGGATATAGCATTGGCCGTAAATTAGTCCCTTGTGGCCTATACAATGACTTGCGGGGGCCAGCCGATGTTCAAGTCAGTGTTTTTATCCTCCCAGACAAGTCTGGTACCAATTAACCGACCCCGGAGGGATGGAAGGCTTGGTTGGCCCGGGCGACTCACGACCCAGGATTTGATCCCCGGACCGCTCGCGTGGTAAGCGCGCCACTTGCGCTACACCACTTCCGCCTAAGACTCAGTGCCTTCCTCTTATTCTTCCGGAGACGCTCCATAGCGACTACGAAACTTTTCACGATTCAGTCACCTTCAGGAGGGCTTTACGCGATCCACTATCATCACTACTAGCTTTGGAGAAAGGCCGCTTTTCCTCTTACACCCTTTTCCACCACCAGCGCCACCGATACCGTATTTGTGGTTGTTTCATAGCATTTGATTCTCAGACAAAGTGACACACATACTCCAACTCAGCACGAACACATCTCATTCTCTGCACTGGAACACGAATCCCAACTTCCACCACCACTATGACCCCTTTGAAATTTCGAATACCATCCCTCCCTCATTCACAATGCACAAAAACAAAAAATACCCCCCCCTTAAAAGTCTTAAATATGACTCTACACTGAAGTTAGCACAATGGACGGTTGAACGGTCCTGAATGCACTTGAACAGGCGCATTGCTTTGATGGAGCTTGGGACCGAACCTTAGCACGTTGTATACGAATACGGCCCTCCCGTTGAACTGATCCGAATCCCTCCTGTCTCCATGTGTGACTGTAAAGCCATAGAAAAACTGATCTCATCGCGCTCACATGTTAGGCCCATAGTACTTTGAGTGGAGCGTATAATGGGGATGGTCATATCTGTGACCTGAGCCAGGGGATCATGTCTGTAGGAGTCTAAGAGCCTTTTAGCTAACAAGGGAGGTCGTTCAGGGTGTGCCAAGCTTTTTCAAAATGGTTTCTTGCATGACATTGGGGCACATATGGGGACCACAGAAGCATGGTTCATTTTTCCTGAACGGCCCTCTGAATACCAGAAAAGGGGTCCCTAGTTCGATTCCTCGTGGTGACAAATTTTTGCATTTCGAGTTGACGTTTCAAAATTCGCGCAAAATGGAGTTAGCATGAATAATTAGTACCATATTCATGATTAGGACCGTCAGTAACCCTTACAAATAGACTTGATTGAAAAACTGGTGAAAAAGGTGTGACTAGGGACCCCCTTTTCTGGTATTCAGAGGGCCGTTCAGGAAAAATTAACCATGGTTCTGTGGTTCCCGCATGTGCCTATATCATGCAAAAGACCGTTTTGAAAAAGCTTGGCACACCCTGAACGACCTTCCTGTAAGAGAATTTGGAGAGACTCGCCCTATATTTGTTTGCCACACTCTGCATTGTTTCATTTATTGTACAACTAAGGACGTCCACAGAATCACAACTCCCCTAAAATTAGCACGGAAATTTTCCTGAGAGGAACTAGTATTTGAATAAGCCTAAAGTAGCGGCTATCGAAATCTAGCTTTTGCAGAAATCTTGGAACTTGGCACTTGGTGATCAGCGATGGAACATCTGGAGAACCCGATATGACGATAACAGCTGTGCTCTGCGGCACCTCTGAGGTGAGCTACCTGAGTAAGCTCCAGTTTTCAAGTGTTAATTGTCCTTGTCTTGTCCTGGCTCGTCTCTTAAGCTGCTGACAGCTACATGCACCGCATTTTTAGAGTAAACGCCCATCTCCCTTCAGGTTCACCGTAGCAAGTCCTTCACCGCAGCGAAAGTTCTGGCTAGTCCAGTTCGCTGAGCGTCTTAGTAAACGTGTATAAAGTAAACAGTGATGAATAAGATCCTGGAGGGTTCTGAAGGAACGAGTTCAGTGCTACTCGGAGATGAGCAGAGGCGCTTCAGTTCCATTATGTGAAAGATCATCGAAGTCCCCGCTCATCCCACTTCACAGCCAGACGTATTTGTTAAGCCTGGCGACATTCGAAAAAAAGGAACCTTTTCAGATTTAACCTAATAGATCACAAGTCGGCATGGCACCTGTATTTTTATTGATGACCATTTTGTTCTACGTTCCATGTTTTCCCGAGCAAACACACAACCACTCTTGTCACCGCTCCTCAGCTCAAATGCAAATTGTTTATTAGTGCCTCACTTCTTCCTCTTTGTGGTTAACTCTTTATATCATTGTCGAAGACGGCTTATATGGAAAATTTTCGTTTGATCTCAGCGTTCCTGAAAACTATTTGTTGAAGGGAGGTTTCAGGTAGTTCACTTCTATTCTTTTTCTCTTGGAGTTTTTTTTTTGTGAATTGAATTTCTTCGGTGTAAAACCAGGCGGAGAGGGGTGGAGGGGATATGGTGACCACTCAGTACGGTAGGTGCGCAAAGTACGCTGTTATTGCCACGGGATGCTGATCTCTTCATTGTCGCAGATTTTACATATTTCGGCTCCATACAAGTTGAGTGGCCACGCCCAGCTTTTCACGCATGTCAATTGCTTCCCACACCCTCCCCCTCACGCCCCCCAGATTGGTTACGCTCCCCCTGGCTCACGAATTCACGATTCTCGTGGCAGTATAATAGCGGGCAGCGGTCCTAGCTACATACATTTCTGTTCGACAAATGCGACGTGCCCACCCCACCCTATGTACTTGTATAGCACCCATACCTCTTCATGTTTTTGTCAGATTCCGACCGTATCTTTTTTCTGCTTCATAGGACCACATCTGGACAGAAGCAACACCGGGTCCTAAAAGGCATATCAGTGAATGGCCAATGGCAATTGATAACCAAGCGTTTGCAGAAGATGAAACTCCATGGAAAGGGCCCTTGAAAAGTTTAGCACAGCTCGATGTTTCTGAAAACTCTAATTTTTTGAACGGGTTTTGAAATGGTGAACTCTTTGAACACTCGAGTCTGTTCGTGTCTTCTTGAGGGTCTAGTAGTCATGATTACTGTGATAGAAGTGAAACTTTTCGTTCAGAGTTCGGAGTTATATTAGAGATCCAGTGCCGGTATGAATATTCGACAAACTCTTTACTTTAAGCTTCATAAGCCAACCTTCATGTAAAATACCCTTTTTCAGTCTTGCCAAATTCACTTATAGACTCTGCATCCATTCACCGCAAAGTGTCAGTATTCTGATTAATTGATATTAATTTGATTTTATTAATTTTTAGGTTGATTCTTATCAACCTAAAAATTAATAAAATCAAATTAATATCAATTACTCTTGTTCCCAATCTCGCTTTGTTGCTCTGTGTATATCAGCAACATGAGTTCTCCTTTGCCATTCACTTTTTTTCCGTGCTTCTATTTTGTGCGCAAAGGAAATCTGGGTAATTTCAGAATGTCTATCGCCATAATTGTTCTCGCCATCGCTGGAACAGTATGGTGCTTCCCTAGTGGAAACTTTGGCCAAGGTGAACACTTTGGCTGGGATTCTGAAGCTCTTGCGAATTGCTTAGATCCTAAACTCACAAGGGAAGGATACCAGGTCGAAGTGGCCATTTGTAACGAGACATACACCACTAGATGTGTTTTTGGACGCTGATCTCGAATCTGCTCTCCAAATCTGCGGAACGATTCCCTGAACGTAGTTATGAAGCGAGATAGTGCAGTGGCAGCGGCCGGGCCCACGATCAAGAGGTCGTGAGTTCGAGTTCTTGGCGAGCTGTTACTTTTGCCTTTTCTTGAGAACGTTGTTTAAGAGGAACTCTTATCCATGCTAAGTTATCAGCGATTGCCTATAGCACAAGTGGAAAAGAGCTGGCGAAGAGCTTCGAGCACTGTGCGCGTCATTTGCAAATGACCGCCTCTGACACCCGTAGCGCACGCGTAAGGCAATTTCGTGCCAAGCAGAGGCGATATTCGTGTTCAGCGCGTCGAAACACCCCTTTCAACAACTTTTGGTCCAAATCTAAAATTTTGACTAAGTCGAAAATGTGGGCATCTATCCATCAACCCACTGTCAGAGCCTGATCATGGGATGGAACTAAACTTTCAATCATTGTTGTGAAAGAGATATACGTGTATGCTTACTTGCTTGCGCCATCCGAACGATTATATGGTATTTTTCTCAAGTGCACATCATTTCAACGGTGTTATCCTATCGCAATTGCTATCCCAAGGGCAGACGGGGCTAAATGCGCAATGGCAATGGGTGCTATTCAACTCTGGCTTTCCCCTATGGATGAAAACGTTCGAGCTGCCCCGCTACCAACCCCCTTCCCCTCCTGATGGGCATGCTTTGAAGGCACATGTCGCTGCTAGCTTGGTAGGGGCAGCTCATCAACGGAAAACGGATAAAAATCATTGAAAACACTACGACCCTCTTTTTGGAAGAGTCCGCAAGGCAGGAGTTCGGGATACACTGTGTGCACACGATACACAAAGAAGAGACTGAAAAGTTGACGAAGAGCCGTACACCAACAACTCAAAGAAAGGGCGTGTGCAGATGCTTGGGATGTGATTAATCTAAATGGAAGTGATGGAACCTTTTCGTCCTTTCACGAATTTTATTTCGCAATGTGAAATATGTACCTCTGTGGTTGCGGACCCAGCTACCCAACTGATTCAAAAAACTAATCATGGAATGTGCGTCTAAGTGTTGCATCCCAGTCCTCAGGGAGCACAGGTTCGTCGAACGGGAGGGTCTATGTATGGGGAACAACATGATGTGAGGGTCCATTTTGATAATTAAAGCAAGAGATGAGATGATTCAGAGTTGCAATCATTCCCATTTCAGGAATCGATGGAGATGGTCTCGTGCCTGTGGAGGGTGGACCGGGTCCGGTCATACTTCCAGGAGATGGTAGGCAGTTAATTCCAGGAGTCAGCTAAAAAGAATCATCGCTTTCTCAACTACAGATCTGAAAATCGCCATGTTCCAGGAGCGGGCAACGAGGGTGTATCCAACGAGAGTGGACCAGGGCCGGTTATACTACCGGGAGAGGGTAAAGCAAATGGCTGACTAAGACATCATTGGAGTTCTAACTAGTAGATTTGAAAATTTTGTCTTCTTTTCTTTCCAGAAACAAGCAACAGCAACTCCGTACCTGTTGAAGGTGGACCCGGACCAGTTATACTTCCAGGAGAGGGTAGGTCAAAGTGAATAGAGACATTGCGAAAGAGTGAAATGATAAGTTTTGGAATTCTGCTGCGTTTCTTTTCAGAGGAAAACAGCGACAACTCTGTTCCTATGGAAGGTGGACCCGGACCAGTTATACTTCCAGGAGAGGGTAGGTCAAGTGAATAGAGACATTGCGAAAGAGTGAAATGATAAGTTTTGGAATTCTGCTGCGTTTCTTTTCAGAGGAAAACAGCGACAACTCTGTTCCTATGGAAGGTGGACCCGGACCGGTTATACTACCAGGAGAGGGTAGGTCAAGTGAATAGAGACATTGCGAAAGA